TTTGGGCTGACTAAGAAGAGAACTTTATTCTTAAGGCACAACAAGGCTTCGTGAGCATAAGTAACTGCTAGGACCATATCCCCAACAAAGCTAGCAGATGCACTAGAAGCAACCACACCCTAGTCTTTACACCAAGCAACAAGAAGAAACCCTCCAAGAATGAAACCAAAGGTCCAAGGGGTCAGTGTCAGTAAGCTCTACTGACCCTAATGGAGTTCTGGGAGGTCTACACCAAGGGTTTTTGAGCTCCGGAAAATTAGAAGCTCAGTCAGGAGCATGCAAGGTAGCTTTGGGCCCCGTTGCCTCAAGGGGAAAGAAAGACGGGGAAAATGGAGCATAAGCAGTTATGTAATTTAGCAAAAATTAAACAATAGACAAGCCTTATGGGAACAGGGGCTTCTCAGTAGAGGTTCGTACAAGCCTAGCACCTAGGAGCCCTCAAAGGAAGAGATTTCGTGTGGTGAGGTTGGATTAGCATAAGGAAATAAGCCTCAACATTCCCTTGATACTCCTCATCCATCTCAAGCAATAACAGCCCTCGATTGTCCAACAAAAGTTTAGGGCAATAAACCACAATATAATAGGGGAGATAACTACGGGTCCATAGTAGAGCTCGATGATACTAGAAGACTCTCTGAGGTCCCAAACATTCGGATGTTTATGAGTCAAGTGTAAAGTCAGCTCAGGAAGCAGTTTTGCTTTCAGAGGAATTCAGTTCCCCTCAAAGTAATGGGAGGCAATAAGATTATAGAGTAGTACGGGAGCAGCTAACCACAAAAAAATAAGAGTAGACTGCATTGAAAAGCAAGTTCGATCGTGCTATCGCATTGAGCAGATAAGACTATATTAAAAGAACGAGTTAGATTGTGCTAGAAAACAATCAGAGAAAGAGGGAAAAATCGGTGCGTTTACACCAGTATTTTTACCATTCAGACAAATCAGGAAAGGCAGGCCAAGTTTACATTCCCCAATAGAAGTTACAAATGCTAGCTAAAAAAATAATTAAAAGATCCTAAGTTTCTGAAGAGGGAACAGGTGGAGGATCCTGCAATGAAGTCATTATAGCCTCAGTTGTAGGAACATAGGCAGAGCTCGGCAACTCACCAGACAACCCTTCTGGCAAGGCAGTAGTTGAAATCTCAGAAGAGCCAAGAATAGGTGAGGAGGTTGGGGCCTCGATCTCAGACAGAGCTCTCGTTACCAGATCAGTAGAAAAGGATGTATCAGTTGGAACAGCTGGAGCAGTGGACATTTCAGTACCTTCTAGAGCCTTATCAGAGGTAGTGGGAATCAAGGTGATGTCATCGCCATCTGAATCAAACTCCTCCATCTCCCCCAGTGGGGATGGCAAATTCAAAGTCGAGGTCTAAGTAGGCCTTCTCCGCTTTCTGCTGAAAGGCTAGTCATCCTGAGGCCCACTTGGTGGTGACATTATCCTTCAGCTCGACTATTATGTCATCCCTCTCCTTGATAGTTGTCTTCTGCACCTCGAGCACACCGCATAGGCCCTCGTTCATCTCAGCCAGTATAACATACTCCTGGCTAAGGCTCTCGAGGGAGCCCCGAGCATCAAAGGCTTTTTGGCTAGCTTTGTTCCAGGCATTGATTTTGAGTAGCAACTCTTCCCTATTCATCCTCAGCTCATCCCTGACCTTCTTCTCTCTTTCCTTAGCCCTATCCTTAGTAGCTTGAAGGCCCTTGTAGTTAGAGGCCTACTTCCCTATTTGTTCTTCGAGCTTCTATACCTGAGCTTTGAGGCTCTCATTGTCAAAGGTCAACTCAGTGACCTTAAATTCGTATGTATTCAAAACTTTGGAAGAATCCTTCGAAGATCGGACCCTATCCATCAAGTTCTTCAATTGGAGAGCTATTTGTGAAAAAAAAAAAAAAAAGAGAGAAACAGACAAGATCAACACAATTCAACCGCGCCGAGCTAAGAGCCAGTGTGAAAATACTTATAGTGGCTGCTCCCTAGAGAGCTGAGCAGAAAGAGGCCTCATGAGGCATGATAGAGGCCCTCTGAATATCAGATTCAGGGAGAATGAATGAAATGGCCCCAGCAACCAACTCAGTATTGTCGAAAAACGAATCTTTATCAGTCTTATGGTCCTCCCTCCTTTCGACTTTGGGACCCCGGAGAGGCAGCTGGGATGGGTTCTCAGGCGGTCCAGGGGATGCAAAATCTGGCTTAAATCCAGTAATTAGCCCCAATGTTCCCTCAACCTCAAAAGAGGTAGGGGAAACCAGCCCTGGCTCGGAAGTCTTTGGAGGGGGGCAAATTGGGCCCCTTGAAAAGGAAAAGGGACCAAGGATTGAGATGAGGGAGTCTGTCCTCCCTTTGTCAAGGTAGAATAAGAGAGCACTTCCAGCTTCTGCACTTTAGCTCTGTCAGTATGGCTGCCTCTAGAGCTGGTATCGGCCTTCCGTTTTGCCACTTTTCCTACTCTTCTTCAGTAGGTCAACTTTGGCCTGGAGCTCCTCAGGGGTAGATTTCATTATGGAGGAGCTTGGGAGATCTGGACCAAGCAAGTTAGACAAGAGAAATGAAAAAGAAGGAAAAACAAGGGAACCAACTCAGAAAGTGTTACCTTCTATGTCTTCAGACCTAACGACTGAGATGGGGAATAGAGCTTCAATTGATACCTTATGAGGACTGAATCCCTGTGCTACTAAGACCCAGGGCTTTGATGAGCTCGGAGTACTTCTCTGGTTTACACTTCTCCAACTTTCGCTTTACCTTCTCGTCCTCAGCACTGAGCTCTAGTCGAATGCCTGAAAAGCAACACAAGGTGAGCAAAGGTCAGAAAGACAACTCAACGATTCCCAAACCAGAGTTCAATCAGTTCAAGCAAGAGCTCACCTAAGTTATCAGGGGCAGACCAAGTTCTAGGGATACCTAGAGTATCAGTCCTGTCAGCAGGATTGTACTCCCAATTGGTGCCCCTAACAAAAAATAATTATTTCTTTCAACCTTTATGGGAGCTCGGGAGATGAGTAATGATCTGCCTAGTAGTGGTTCGCTTGGAGATATATAAGAAACCCTCTGATGAGGTGAGCTTGATATTAAAGAGATCCACAAGCAAGGAAATGCTGGGGACCCCAAGTCCATAAATCTTGAAGAAAACCAGAAGAATCACAAGTACACCCCAGAAATTAGGGGAGAGTTGAGCAGGGCAGACATTGAAGTTCTGCAAAACATTCTTGACGAAAAGATGCATAGGGAAGCGAAGACCATTCTCAAAAGTTGCTGCCAAGAAACATACCCTTTTTTGAATTTGGGCAACGTAGGGAGTGTATTTATCTTGACACCAGGGCTGGACACTAGGAGGAAAATCGTAACGAGCACTAAGAATTCTGACATGAGAAGAGTCAACCTCATTGGATCCTACGAGCTTAGCGTGCCTAAAGGCAGCCCTATACTCGCTGCGCTGTCAGAGACTCCTATCTCACTCACCTTGCCCTTATCTTTGATAGGATTAGGGAGCATAGAGGAAGACGATGGGGATGGTTCCTCAGTATTTTTCTCGGCATCAATAGCATCCACACCGGGGAAATTGTTGATTTCTTTGCCTACATCCTCTAAATCAGTGTCCTCTTTAGCAGACCTTTCCCCAAGAAAGAAGCAGAGGAGCGTGTAACTCTGGAAGGAGTAGACATGACTGGACAGGAGAAGGGTAAACTGAAAGAATGGTAGAGAGGGGGAATACCGACTAAGCACTCCCTAATAACCTTAGGGTCAGCATAGTAGCTTCCAATAGTAAGGATTTGCACAATAGAAATCCAGTCCACGAAGTGGGGGAGAGGAGACAGGCAGTAATTACGATTCCAAAAGTAAAAAAATCGAAAGGCCCAGAAATGCAATAGCCACCTCGAATTCGAGGGATCCAGAACGAGAAAAGATGAAAAAGAGACAAAAGGGCGTACCTAGGGAGGAAAGAGCAACGAACAACAGCTTGGAACGAAATGGAAGAAAGAGGGCAAAGCGAATCCTCAAATCGAACCCACAAAACTCGATCTTGAATAAGGAATCAGAGAATTCCAAACCAGAAAGCCAAGAAATCGCAAAAAAAGATAAGCAAAAGAGAAGTTGAACAGTGAAATATGGCAGATTAGATAACCGTTTGAGCATTTAAATCCTGAAAGACGTGGACTGAAACGTGCACGGGAAACTAAGAAGCCATGATTGCTGAAAATCGCCAAAAAGGCTAAATTCACGTGCGGGCCAAGGTCAGCCACGTGCAGATCCTACTCGATTTACAAAACAGCTCAACTCTTGTTCAAGCCCGCTTGAACCAGGGGCTGGGGGGCAACTGATGATGCCACAAACAAGTCCTAACTGTGAGGTCAGGTCAGGAAGGACACGAGGAACTCAGAGAACCAGAGGTGGAGTCCGCCTTGGGGAGATCGTAGTTGAACCGACCAGGAAACAACTGGGTGACTGCGGGAATTGGGCCCCATGCATGAAACTCTCAACCAACCAAAATTCTCTCCTAAAATTAAGGAGAATCCCATGAATAATGAGCAAAGATCTCGGCCGAAATTCCACGGAATAGGAGACAGCCTTATAAATACCATGCAACGCCTCGTCGAGAAAACGAGAAAAAGAGAAAAAGAGAGAGAGAGAGAGAGAGAGAGAGAGAGAGAGAGAAAAGAAAAAAAAAACCCTAATCAGTTCAGGATTGTCTTATATTACATTCAACTAATCAATAGAGAAGAAAATGAGCAAGAACCTCCATTGAATAGTGGACTAGCCGAGCTCCAGAACCGGTGAACCACTATATTCTTACTGTGTACACCCCTTTAATCCCCTCAATATTTGATTTCAGCATCATACACGAGCTTTGAAGCTCTGATTCACGCTCATCTCACGTTGCTTGCACCTATTGATCATCCACGTTGATTTACGCCATCAAATGCGAACATTTCCATGCACAATTTTATGTAGATTTTTTTTTAAATCGTAAAATTTGACTAATCTAAATCAATTGCAAAATGAAGTTCAGAAACACACATGTAAAGGAATGAATTTGCAATAGCAATTTCTTAAGACATCAAAAAAACATAATAAATGGAAAACACAATTGTCTAGCTTCTTACATGCAAGAATTTGTTCACCAACTTGCCCAAATTCACCGAGGATGACCCATCTGGACCGGCAGCTTTTTCTGCCAGTTTTTTCCACTCTATAGATTTGTTCTTCATCTTCTTCCCTTGATCTCCACCAATCAATTCCCTCACCAATCTCTCCAGTATTTCTCTCCTAACATCACTCTCAATCTCCATCCCAATTTCCCATTCATTGCAAGTGTACCTACAATTTGTCTGTTGGTCTGAGAAATGAGGCCAACACAGCATGGGCACTCCAGCACATATGCTCTCAATAGTGGAATTCCACCCACTGTGTGTCAAAAACCCCCCCACTGATGGGTGGTTTAGGACTTGTTCTTGTGGACACCACCTTGCTAGCATACATCTTTCTTTCGTTTCGACGATGAACTCCTCTGGGAGAATTCCCAACCCACCAGAAACAAGATCAGGTCTAATTATCCACAGGAAGTTGCATTTACTATTAGCAAGTCCCCAGCCACACTCTATCAGCTGCTCAGGGGTCATAACTATTAAGCTCCCAAAGTTTACGTAAATCACAGAGTTGGGTTCTTTTGAATCCAGCCATTGTAGACACTCTGATTCTTCTTTCCATAGGTTGTATCCCATCGATTTTAAGTGCTCTTGCTCATTTGATGTTTGATTCAGCAGTAATTCGAGGGGCCCGATGCTATAAACGAGTGGAAACTTTTTTGACATAGCATCAAGAACATCTTGCTCTAATGCATCAAAAGTATGAACAACAATTGCTGAAGCTCTGGAAGCCCCTTCGGCAGCTTCCATGCAAAAGTTGAACATCATATCATTTGGATCTGTAGTCCTTACAAAGCTTGGGAGATCCTTCAGACGCATGTCTTTCATTCCTGGAATCCAGTCTATTATTCTATCTAAGTACCCATTTGTTAGATAGCTTTCATCTGCAAATACCGTAATATTAGTATGAACATTAATAGAGTTGCATCATATTTGAGTTGTGCCATTTTGTTTCATGTTGTGTTTGTGTTATTAGAAAATTGTTGGATATTCATACAATACCAGATAAAGATTAAAGAAACAAAAATATAGGTTTATTTTCTCTTTCAATACAAGCAAAAGGGTTATTTTAGTCTATCAATGACCTGAATCCTCCATTATTTAAGTTATTAACTAGCGTCATGTATTAGTTCGATGTCGTTTTCATGTCAATAGATAAAATTGGTACCCCTAAACTTATCCTAACCACATGCATTTTCATAATTTCTTTTGCAATTTGAGCTCAACTCTCCATATGAATCCTATTTTCTTTTACACCCACCACAATTTGGAACTGGAATTATTTGTTAAAATTGACAGACACTTACATTTGAGTGGTGTCAGTCCTTTTTCTAACAGAGCTCGAAACTGATAGAACCCCATGAACGCACAGGCAGGACTTGGAAAGAAAATTATCCGTGGGATTCCAAGTTCTTCAGCAGCTGTAACAGTGAATGGCATGAAAAAGTCCGAGACGATACAGGTAACCGGAGGAACGTTGGAAGACGCAGCGTCATTGAGTTTGGCGAGGAGGTCGCGAAATGGAGGCAATAGGTACCGTTTGGTAATGGCCTGAGTGAGAGCAAAGATGTCTTGATTGGCGTCGGATTCGGATGGAGGGAGACCATCTGGAATGGTCTTAAATCGAAAATCAGGTAGTTCATCGAGAGAATTGGATCCCATAGATTTGAATAAGCGTTTATGATTGAACTCTGTGTTGACAAAGGTTATGTTGAAGCCTTTGTGATGGAGGAGTTTTGCTAGTTTCATCATTGGTTTCATGTGGCCTTGTGCCGGGGCTGGTATACATACCGCATGAGGCTTATCAGCAACTGCTACAGAACTCATTCTCTCTCTCTTAATGTTTGATGTGCACAGACTACTAAGGCCTTTATATGCAAAGGTTAATGACCTTATGACATCCTGAATTACACAGGAAGTATCTGGGAACGATACCTGAGGAATTTTGTTGCTTTTAGCAAAATGCTCCAATAACTTTTTGCTTATATTCAACTACGGAATTTTTCACATTACTGTCTCAATTATTCTAATTATTTGTTATCTCTTTGACAATTCTTATTAATATACCAGGTAAAGTGAAACAAAATCACATTAATTCCCGAGACACTTTATCATCAAGTTTGTAATAGATCTTGAGCGTTGGGACAGTATGAAACTAATATCCATAGATGGGTGAAATGTGAAGAATATAATAGTTGAGAGAGCAATGTGAGAATTTGGCCATAGTTATAGGGTCAAAGTGTAAATTGCCTTTTTTATTTTGTGATCTGTTGAAAAATTTTCCTTAAAGATGATCTTTCGTAGCAGTCACGATGGACTTCTCAAAAATTCAACGAAGACCAAATATGTGGTCCTCTGAAATCGTGATCACCAAGGAAGATATTATATGTACAGATATAAAGACAAATAATTGAATAATGTACGCTAAAAAATCAGAAGCCATACACCAATGAAAATGGTTGGATCTAATTTTCATTATATTCCATCTAAATCCGAATCTTGTGACATCTTTCATAGATTTGTATTTAAATTTATGCATATCTTATTCGATTATAATTTGATTCGAAAATGTAAATAACATTGATTATTTTTTGCGAATTGAATCAAATATTTGAATAATTTTTAATGAATTTGGATATGAATTAAAATGAAATCTATTGAATAATTTGATCGAAAAAAAAAGTATTAAAATTGGAACTTAGAGAAATTTGATTTAAATCTGATTTATTGACAATCCTATTACCCTATGATTTGAGATGATCGGTTTTGTGGCAATTTAATCCTCTCTATGCCACCAAATGACAACATATTTTTGTTTTTATTTTTTATTTTTTTGTTATTGGTGGTTCAAATTTACTCCAACTACTCTTTTAAACTTAGCGAACGATCACCGTAATTTAAGCTAATCTAGAATATGTCTCCAAAAAGATAAGGTGATTCACCCTTAAGGGATCTGAAAAGAGATTTAACTTAAAACCTCTTAGCTTTTATTAGATGATAAACTCAACTACTGAATTATCTTTATAAATTATTAAAATACGACACTTAACCGGCGGGCTCAGAACGTAAAATTCATGCACCCCCATACACCCAAGCTTGTTTCCCTGTTTCTAGCTTCTGTTGCGCTTCACTCATACAGCTTGATCTCGCAATGGGATGAGAAATAAACGAAATTTATTGCGATAATATTTTTAAGTAGAAATAAAATGAATATTTTTTTGATAAAATAAATTTGAGAATGAAATGAAATATATATTACCATTTCAATATTTATTTTCCTAAAAATCATCCTCTAATATTTCTCTAACAAATTTAATCTTCTTACCTTTTACACTCATCTACTTTTTTGTTTAAGCTTGTGCGGAATACACTCTTGGGTTTAGCAGTTGGTCACTATGATTTGCATTCGGTTAGAGCATATCTCTAAAAAGATAAGGGTGGATAACCCTTGGGAAATGTAAAAAAGAATTGTATATGACACCTTTGAGTTATCAAAGTTCAGGCTCATTCATTAGACGCAACAAATTTAGTCTTCTCACCCTATGTTTATTTTTTTGTTTAAGCTTGCGCTGAATACACCTTTGAGTGCACAGTTGGCTACCTTAACTTGAACTGAGTTAGAGCATATCCTTTTATCCTTTCTATTTACTTTTTTTGTTTAAATGTTGACCACTCATTAATGTTTTAACTGTGGTAATACGGTCATGTACATCATTTTTCATCACGAGACCTGTTGCATCTACCTCTGTCTCGACCGGGTCTAGCAATAATTGATCCCTGATATAGTTTTGAAGCATACAATATGCAATTATTATATGGATGATAATCAACATTTGGGATATTACAAAGAAAGTCAAAAAAATTAGATTTGCTAGCTAGAGGTTAAAGAAAATAAAGTTGAACAGTTTGAAATAAAAAAAAATCCAGTCCCTAAATGCAAGGGAACATTGTTTATATGGGTGATAATCAATTACCGGGAAAATAAAATCTTAACCACTAGAGGAATACTTCTATTAAATTTCAAATCATAAAAAATTCACATTTGAATTCTTTGTATGTCTTACAGTATTATTAACATTGAAATTCTAAAATAACACTAAGCAAGAAATTAGAAAGTCATTCTCCCACATCCAAATTGAATTGCAAATGTAATAAAAAAGAAAAAAAATAGGGCAAAAAATAAACAAAATCTAGTTTGCAAGTAGTTGATATAAGAGAAATGTTATTTGAACCTAAAAATTTGACCTAATTTACTGACATAATGGTGTGGCTTAATAAGAATCATTAAATCAACACCAAGTTCTAATGTTTGATGGGACCTACCATCAATCCAAAAGTCACAGTGCATTAGATCAAAAAATTATGTCAGATTTTTAGATCTCAATAGCATTACTCTTGATATAATCCATTCTCTTATAGTGATCACATAGCAACACAAAACCGAGCACTTTAGACCATATATTCCAGCCCTTGTTATAATTACACATCCCAATTATATTTTGAAACTTTAATTTTCAGTACCTTGAATCAAAAATAATTAATTCTCTGCACCGTCTCCAAGAAAATAAAGGAAAATTAAAAGAACTTTAAAGCTTCACACCTAACCAAAGTATATATTGCACCAACTAAACTAAAAATATTTCGACGGATTAACTCAGGAGTTTGTTTTTATTTTTTTCCCCAAAAATTTTGAACTAAACAGACGACAAAAAAATTTCTTTTACACAATTTTCTGGAAAGAATAAAAGAAAGAACATCTTCACTATGTGTTCCTCACCATTGACAAACAGATTTAACAAATTCCAGCATAGATGTTTGCTCAAATATTCACATACACCATGTTACTGCGTTGGGTCATGTTACAAATCCTCATGTTTCTGTTTTACTTGGAAAAAACTCAAATAAAATTGTATATGTGCTATGATAAATCCAAATATGATTTTAACATTACTAAATAGTGATAATTGAGGGCGAGTTCCCTTAAATAGACTTATAATGACTTGAGTCTCGGAAGAGGGTAAATCCATGTTTAAATTTATATGTAGGTACTTAAGTCGATTATTTTTTAAATCTCCAAATTACTCCTAACGGTATTAGTTTTGTCCAGTTATGAAAAGTCACATAGGTTAGAACATTGAGGTATATATGAAATCCTTAATTGAGTTATATATGGAAATCATTTATTAAATATTATGATAATTAACGGAAGTTTTATATGAAAGTTATAGATTCTAATAGTTATATATGAGAAGCTTAATGTACGAATAATTTTCTTAACAAACAATAATGCATAATATAGGGAGGTTGTACAATGTCAACAGAGTCCAGTAATACAAATGTTAATATATAATAATATTCATATTACTATATGATTGAAATTACAATTAGAGTCGCGTTACTAGTACAGTCGTGTTACTATACTGACACTAATATTACTATAGTGAATTTTAACATACAATTGCAAACTTTAAGACGTATATTATGTAACATACGCTTTAATATTCACAGTAACATCAAAGTTTTGTGCTCAGTAACACATTTAATTTTTCAAAATATAAGACAATAGTATATGCGCTATGATAAATCCAAATATGGTTTTAAAGTTACTAAATAATGCTATATGTTTAAGGCATAGATGTTTGCTCCAATATTCATATAAACTATGTTATTGTGTTGGGTCATATTACAAAGCCTCATGTTATTGTTTTGTGTCACTATAATAAATCAAAGTTACTATTTTGATATAGTCATGTTAAATGTGCGATGTTATCGACAAATGACAATTATAAAACGAGTATTGAAAAACAAATATGAGTTCAGGTGTCGAGTATCATTAAATGATGCACAACATGGTGGTAGAGATACCATAGGTCCATCGACAAAACAACCAAATTGTTTTCATCAATTCAGGTTCAACTTGCACCCATTGATAAAGGTGATTGGAGAAATTGAACTTAAATATAATTAGAAAGAACAGTTGAAGAGAACACCGTTTTGACTCTTATTGCAAAGACCAGTATATCATCGACATACTTTCTTCTGTTGATATTAAAACATCAAAATTCCACATTGGTGGAAAGAGCTTGAAACTGAGGAAGAGTGATGTAGCAATCATATTTGGTGTACAAGATAGACCATAACCAATCGATTCTCCCCAAAAAGCAAAGAAGCTGACACCATTTGTGGGGAGGAGATTTAGAATCATTGAAAGGTTGAATGCATCTATAATAAAGAGCATCCTAAAGGAGGCATCCACATGAGAAGAGCATATTGATTATGAAGATGTTGCTAGGTTGTATTGTTTGTATGTTTGGTGACATTGCTCCTTACAACTATGGGGTAAACAATTGGATGGTGGTATGTGTCATATGTAAAACATTTAGACGACATCAAGAAGTATGCATGATCGCAAGCTATACTTGATTTATTGATGAATTCCATACAGCTAAAGATAGACACACTGAGCGCAGTTACCGGTTGTGTACTCGCATTGCCAGTAAGCCTATGAAAATTAAAAAATTTTAATTTAAGACATTGATTTTTATACTTTATACACTTTATCAATTGTAACACAATTATACATGCAGTATTGGATATGTGGACACACATCTATTATTGTGTCGAACAAGTCGAATGGTTTCCCAAGATTTCTGAAATGGATTTAGGAAAACTTTGGAAGTCGTTTAGACAAAGAAACAGGTGACAAGGTATAATTACAATTAGTATTACTATTAATTTTTTACATTATCTATATGCATCATTAAATTATTTTCTGGTCCTCAAGATGTTCAATTTGTCATGTTACTATTTTATTTTAGTAAGCATGTTACTATTTTGTACGCCTAAGCATTAGCAACATACTTATGTTGCCTAATATGATCAGTGTTTTGCTGTTTTAAAACCCAAATTTGTTCAATTTTGCCATGTTACTTTTTCTACCCCTTAACAACACTAAGTTGTTCAATTTGCAATGTTACTATTTTATTTTGTTG